CCAGTATATTGAGCAAAAAAAAATATAATTTCATAATTTGTAAATAAATAGTATTAAAAACAGAATACCATTTTCAACTAGTTCTTAAGTGTCAAATTAAGTCATAATCGGTTAATACTTCGAGTATTAAACATATTAAGTGTAAACTGAATGAGTTGTCTAACTTAATTATTTCAATATTGTTAACGAATCTAATTATATGTGTAAGTACCTTTACTGAAATTTTCGATTTAAAAATATTTAATTTTCACGAATTGTTCACTAACTTAAATTTATATAATAATTAATTTATATAATAATATTCGTAATTGGGCAGAAAGCCCTAAGGTCAATAGCCCTTTGTATCAGTTGACTTTTTTGAAATTACAGTGAAACCTCGCTTAACGAACATAATTCGTTCCAAAATTTCCGGATTTTTACTCGTATAGTGAAACAATTTTCCCCATATAAACTAATGTAATATACGATAATGCGTTCTATTTTGGAGTCATTTTTCTTACAATTTATTTTGCTCATTAAGCGAAATGCTCGTTATGCACGTTAAGCGAGGTTCCACTGTATATATATATATTTTGTTCTTTTTATTTCTGTATATGTTCCTTTTTTGTACGACTGATTCGTAATTTTCGATTGATCAATATGGTATATAATTTGAAGTTGAAGTATTAAATTTTAAATTATATAGAAGATGATTTAAACTATCTTTGTTCTTAATAAATATCTAATAAAAAGTAATCTTTCGTGATTTCAGTTTATGAAGGTAGAATGAAGTAAATAATATGGACAGGGTGAAAGTGTGCCATTTATCTTCGAGCATCCTGAGATCTTGTTATTGCTCGATGCTCGTGTAGGATGGTCCAGGGCTATTTATAACACTAGAGAGAATATAGACTCTCTTCGGCTTGATGCCACTGATAACAAGCATCTCTAGATAAATAAATATCACTCCATCTGACGTCCCACCAAATGCGATCCAAATTCTCATCCACGTCCATCCGAAAATCACGGTCGATTATAAATAGAGAGACGGGAATCTCACAACAAAGTAGTGCAATTAGCAACCGCAACGTCCTTAAAACGACACCGCAGAAGCGGAGCGAGTGGAAATTTCTTGAAAGCTATTTTCGCGTCGGACGGAACAACTCATTTTCAGACAACGTCTTCCGCAGACAACGTCTTCCTTCCTTCTGCATTGTAAACCCGTATTATTATTAATATATATTTCAGTTCCTTGTCAAACTGTCAGGCTAATGTACGCTGCGAATTTAATATTAATCAGTTTTATTGACACGTAGAATTCCAGATGGAGCTTATTTTCAGGAAGCACAGGGCTGCGCGAAATTTAATTAAATCGCGACCGAATTTACTCGCTGCGGTGATGTTATTAACGAAATGCAATTCAATACACACTCATTCAACGTTGTGGAATTTGAAAACTCCACGAATTTGCTTCAAAAACTAATTAGTGGACGATATATTATTCATTAATTAACTACTCGCGTTTAAAAAAAATACAAATTCTAAAAAAATAGTATTCATTTTCACCAGTTCGTGCGGTTTTTAATTAGCAAGACAAATTTATTATAAGCTTCTAGCATTTATTGCATATCTAAACATTGATGAAAATTATTTCACATTGAAACTTTTACAGAAATATATTATCCATATGATTCATAATTAAAATCAATTTCTATGTTGTAAAATTGTTAGTATTAATACACACATAAATTCTAATTTAAATGTTTATATTGCAGAAGATAATTTCGTATTTATATATTTTTTCCGAGTTTAAAAAAATGCTATTTTTTTCTAACAATTTACAAGAATCATTTAATTAAAGTACACTGCATATTATATAATAAATTGGTATTTTTTTTTTCAGAAATTATAATTCAAATTTAAACTAATTATACTTTTGCAAGTGTCCTAATTGTTATATTATAAAATATGCTCTTTATGTTGTTATGCGCGATGATTGTTACTAGAATATTGAAACTAATTTAACCTTTTCATGCAATAAACACTATTATTATTAAAAACGACAAATTGCTAATTATAAAAGCGGATTATTATGTCATTCAAGCTCGACGGAGATAGTGAATATGCAAAACGAATGCAGCAATGTCATGTTTGTTATTTTCCTGTCATCGTTATTTCTAATTCAACGCATAAAATGAAATTACGCACAGATGTTGTTGAACGTGTAAACTAAAAAAAAAATAAGACACAAATTGCGAAGTATAGAAGGATTCATTATTTTCCTAAATTGCGAAGCATAGAAAGATTCATTATTATTAAGATAAATTAGCTAAAAGGATAAGCATTTTTTTTGTTTGGAAATCGTGCAGCACATGTGAAATGACAGAAGAATGATGCGAGCAATGAGGATGGAATTGCAGAGGGCGTAAATGGGAGCAGAGTGTGAACACATGTATAAAAGGACCGGAGAGCATATTTCTATGGAAGTGAAAAGAGTGAGAAAAAAACGTTGAACGTGGATGAGGAAAATAAAGAATCCTAAAAAGGACAGTGCGTAGAGTAATGTGGACTAAAAAATATGCCTACCTGGAAAAATCTTTATCGACGTTTTTAAAGTAAACAAAAAGGAAACACGGATACGTAATGGATACGTGGAAATATGCCACTAAATTACCAGATTTAATAAAATCATGGAATAAAATGGTTAATTATGACATAAAAATTAACAAATATCTTTTAAATTACCAAAAATAAATGTTCTCTATTTAGTTTGATTATTATTTCATTCAAAATTAGTTAGTTAAGAAAAGTTAAAGATTATTATTATTATTAAAACTAATATATTGCAAAAAAAAATTCAGTATTTCACACTAATATTTCTATTTTTCAATTTTTTTAAGTAAACTATGATATTTATTTTGTATTATATAAGAATAAGTAAAAAAAAAGTCTTTAAGTAAAATATGTATATTAAATAATTACATAATTCAATTTGTATAAAATATATTTGCTATGCAAATTGTTTGTTTCCAATTAAACAAATGTACATTACGAAATTTCAATTAGTAATCACAAAGTAAAAAAAAAACGTATTATTTTTAGGTTTCTTTTAATTTATCAATGATAATAGTTAATTAAATTGTATAATTAAATTATTTTCATAAAGTAATTATAGCGAATGATTGAACATCATTTTATATACATTTCATTTAGGACACGAAGCAAACACAATTTAATTAACTAATTAATAATACGATTTGCATATCGATTTCGAGAGAATGCATATAAAGTTTATATGTATGAATCGTGGAAGCTGTAAATGTTATTATAAGAAATTATGAAATAATGTAAAGTTTGAAAGATATTTTATGATAATTAGAAGTGAACAATCAAGATTTTTGTGTGACTTAAATTATGAGGATTTTTATTTATATCAAATGAATATATATATAATAGAAATATAATATCAGTTATTATTATGAATCGTTTATATTAATTTAACTGTTAAATATTACGTATGTGAGTAAACTGAAATTGTATTAATGTTTCTTAAATTAAGGACCAATTTACAAATGGTTTATAGTGGACCCAAGTGTATCGTACACGTGACTGAAAATTTAGTGCATCCTCCGTAGGTTGAGTCCTTTGACGATTTGCTTTAGAAATGTATGAACTAGGATTAAATTTGTAAACTGGCGTTAGGACTGCCTGCATCCACACTCGTCTACTAGTGGTTCTGTGAAGTGAAACTAAACTAACTGCTTCAATTGCACACTATTATATAAACATTATACTTGGAATGTTTGAATGTCATTTAACTCTTTAACTGTCACGTGTAATATCCACATTTCACAGTCAAAGTACATTAAACGTGTTTTGAAAAATAAAAAAATCTACTTCCTGTTATCTAATTTGCATTTATCAACCCAAGTATTTCTATTTCATAACAATTAATTCAAAATAATTTTTAAATTAATCATTTTATAATTATTAATTATTAGATTTATTGATGTTGCTATGATACGTAATGTTGCGTCCTCAATATGCGTAATTTGTGACAGAAATGTCATTCATGCTATTGGTTGTTATGAATTCTGAATGATGCTCGATGTAAACACAGTTGAGAAGAACATCTACATCATATGTACCGAATGAGATTATTCATATGTAAAGTTTCATCTACATACGTGATTTGTAAGTCTTTACAATTTACTGTAATGGAGACTGAAAAATCATTGAGAGTGACTTGACAGCTGTCATTACATACCTCTATATATGCTTAGAAGTTAGTATGTTGATGCTAATTAGGGTTTATACAAAAACCGGTTTTCAAATCTCAACTTTTGTAAAAAACCAATTTAAACTGGTTTTCGTATTTTGATAAAAAATATAAAGAGAAAATATTTATTTATGAAGATATTTATGATTTTTCCATACTATTTTTTAAAGGTATTGTTCTATCCCGATTTTCCGTTTGTTTCATAAAACTTAATATTTAACAATATCTATGTCAAAGAAGATTTTGTGTCAAAATGTTTATGTTTTTAATCAAATAATTAATATTTTAAGTCTAGACTCAAAATCCGGTTTTTTAATTGGAAAAAACCCAGTTTTCAAATTATATAAATTTCTTCTTAAAAAAAACGGGTTTTAAAAACCGACAAACCCTAATGCTAATATACTTCAAACAACAAAGATCAATTATATTTGTGATTATGTGTATTGTGCGTCACCTAAACGTCATTCAGATGTACTATTGGTTGTCATGGAGCTAAGACTGAACTGACAGCTGCAATTGTACACAGCTGCCACGTGTACAAAGTACAGTGGTGCCTCGCATAACGAACGCCTCGCACAGCGAACGGTTGGTATTTCTGAATAACATATACGTTTCAAACCATGTATACTATGAATGGAGCTACTATACACAGACATCGATCGTGCGGCAATTAAAGTGCAAGTAGACACTTTGGGAATCAAAGTGGATATGGAAGATGCAAGAGAAATTAGTGTTCGGTTACCTTTGATTTGATCTGTGGGGGTGTCGGATCTGAAATGCGCGGTTTCGTGGCGCGACCCCACGCTGAAGAAGATCTGCACTGTCGTGGGGAGGTCCATGGGCAGGGTGAGAAGCTCATCGCTCAAGGCCCCCCGTCGCCCATCATTCTCTCACGCTTTGGTCCCATCAAACCCTTCCACTGGAACAGAATTAACACCAAATCAATAACTCAACATCGATGCGTAATTGCCTATCGGCCGAGACCGGCCGACAAAAATCACTTATCTAAATTGCACGAGAGAACAACGCGAACGGCGCCATGGAAATAAACCAATTCAATTAATTATCAAAGCACAAAAGAACGAAAAGAACAAAGAATACAACAAATATAAATACAACAATTGTCGTTCTCAGAAAAAAAATATATATTCTGTTTACGACCTTTTCGTTTATTTGTTTCCTGGTCATTTCGCTTTTGCACACAAAACATATGGAATAACATATATTCCCCCAGAGAACTCCCACAAGCTTCACCTTAAAATATTACAGGACCCAAGCCGTATATTTTGTACTGAAAAATTCACTTTCGCTACTACTACTACCATGAAAAATAAAATACAGGATGTTTACTACAACAGTTTTGTTGTAAATAAAACATGCAGCAATGAGTGATGAACGGAATTTCATTTCGAGCTCATTTCATCCTGCATTCAAAGGCAAAAGCAAATGTATGCTTTCCTGCCTCGAAGGACATTAATCATTTCCACCAAACACGAGGATCAATTGTAAATTAAAATATTTACAAACGTGGCCAACGCGGAACAGGTGGGTGGTACAAATAACGATAAATCACGGTAATTGATTGCTGGAGATGCATGATATTAAAACTATTTGTTTCAATTGCAACAAACTTAATGTTCTTGCAGCTGCATCACGGACTAATTAATGATCAGAATATTATGTTTTGTTCTGTGATATCTATTATTCCGCGTTAACCCTTTCAGCCCTGAATTAGCAAATCCGATTTTAATCCATCAATTTAAACAGCCCCAGTTCGTATTTAAAGCACAATTCAAAATTAACGATGAATGCCATCAAACTTTTAATATTCGATTTATTTAAAAATCGAATGTATTTCGCATATATCTGTCCATATTTGTATTACTTCTTTTTGTATTGATTGATTAAATCATTTAAAACTGAAATCAAACTTTTAATCTTGTCTTGGAGAAGTCAACACATTTACTTGCTGTTTACACATAATTTTCACTATTACAATTCAAATAATTGACGAAATTATAAAAAAAATTATTCCATTAACTAAATATATGCATATAAACTCATATTATTTCTTGAAGAGTTCTTTATTATGTCAATCTTAGCAGTTTTGGAGAAGAGTCTGCACACACCAAATATAAGAAAAGTTTTCTTTTCACATTATGCAAGCAGGAAGAATGGTTTTTGGGATACTTTTATACGAAACGATTCTAGTTCCTATAGAAGCGATCATGATCGAAGATACATTTGATTATCATTTGTCAATGAGGAACTTCAATAGCTTCAAAGATCTTTTCTGTACTTTAGAATGTAATAGTTTGCTTTTAGAAAAATGTTTTGAGAATGTAGATATAAAAACCAAAAAAATCAGTCAATAAATTGAATCACTCATTCGGAATTAATAGACTATAAACGCTTTAAGAATTATAGTCTACTATTTAACTACTACTAAATAACAAACATAGAAATATCTATTAAGAAAATTGACTTATCAATAATTTAATAGTTGTATTCAATATGCATATAACTAAATTACGTATGATTGTATTGTGGTTATACTTTAAATAAAATATGTAATCATCAAGAAAGTTTATAATTTGTTTTGTATCCAATTGATTGCCATCACGATCGAAGTCCATAGCAAATAATTGGTCGATAAATAACAACGATTCTAATAGGTAATAACTTTTAACAGCCTTCTACAAAGTAAAGAAAAATAAATGCATCAGCGTCGTAAAAATAAATTTCAAGATAATTGTAATAACCTTATGATTTGTGCAAATGTCAGTGGAAACGTTTACACAAAATTATATCTCCTATATGTAATAGACAATTCGATAATGTTATAACTATAAATACACAAATGGATAAATGAAAAGGTAAATTGGTATATAAAAATAATCAGTATAGCAAAATATAATTATTACTATAAAACTTAATAAAAGATTATTTACAATTATTAATATTTCAATTGTTTTTTTTCGAATATGTATTAAAATTATTATTTATGAAAGGACAAGAATTCATACAGAAATAAAATATATAAAGAAACAAGTACAAAATCTAATAACAATTATGTCAATTTATGTAGACTTTCACTCATATAATATTTGCAACGAGTATATACATATTATAGATATATTTACATTTTAATAATCTCTTATAAATATAAAACGAGTTAACCATTTTGGAGAGTATTTGTATAGGTTTGTCGCACAAATATAGACAGGTCAATCCTAAACAAACACGCAGTGCCTTTAGGTACAAAAAGAACTTGAATTCGGAGGATTAAATAAACTGAAAATGTTACTAAATCAATTTAATTTAAATTTAAACATTCAATAATGATCTTATCTTTCAATATTTGTAAGGACCTTTTTCCTATTGCGTAATTAATTAATATATTAGTTAATAATTTCAATATTCAATAAATAGTTAAATTACAATAAAATTTGTAGAATATACAAAATAATAATTCGAAAAAATTATATTCATCTCATTTATATACATATCTATTTATAGATATTTTCATTTTACAAATTATAATTAAAACTGTAAGAGATCAATTTAGAAACAAACACAATATTCTTATCAGGTTGTTTGATCGCAACTATGAGGATGGAAGTGTCTATATTACAGAAAACTAGTTAAAAATTGAGTGTAGGATTTGTGACTAATTCATCAAATTAAATTTATAAAAGTAACCATAATAAAACTTTTTTTTAATAAAAATATAAATAAATGTAAGTTTTAATACTAATTATAATAAAATTTAGTTAGATCTTAATGAATTACTTTATACTTAAAATATTTGCATTAACCTTACTTTTTTAATTGTCAAAAGACATGCAAGTAACGTAATATGCTAAATCACATAGTGTAAAACTTCTAAAATTAGTACATACTCATAAATTCAAGTTTCCAAAAATATATTTTAGTTATTTCATATTGGAAAGAAGTGAATAGTGAATATCAAGTACTACTAAAAAATTTCTGCGCTAGATTTGAATATACTCTTATACCCGAACTATTCCCATGGTAACCACGATTTGAGCAAACAAGTTAAAATTTGCTATTGTAATGTGTGACCTTAGCAACCAACTGCTTTGCGTATTATTATTATTGGCAGGAAAAGCACTTCCACTTACAATAATACTAGAATTCCTTTCCCACAACGATAATCCCAATATATAAACATAGAAAAGCGGACTATGACTTGAAAAAATAAATAATAGATAATAAATATTGAATTAAGCATTGCATCAACATATTATTCATAAAAAAAAATGAAAATTGAAATGATAAAAGAACATTAAATTAAAGAAGAGTTATCAAGCTGTTTTATCTTGAAACCTGTTATGCCGTATATATTCGTCATGGTTTCTTGTATTGGGTAGCGCTTATGACGAATATATTCGCATCATGAATAATAAACAAAAATACGCTTAAAAGATTAAACTTATTTTTTTTTGTAAATTTTAGATTAATTAATTTAAACTTATTTAATTAAACATTGAATTTACACTTCAGCAATATAATCCGTTCAGCCAATATCTTTGACTATTTGAAACCGGACTAATCGAGGAATATGAAAATAAACATTTCTTTAGATTTATTTTAATGTTGCTGAATTAAAATTTAGTTTGTTTTGAAATGTTCAAACCGTACTATAGTGAATACGCACTGTTCGAAGCTGCACTAAGCGAGGTATTGTTCTATTTTCATTTCGTAAAGCATTTGCCTAAAAACTTGTTAATTCTAGTCAATTATGAAACAGATATTTTACTAAATGAACTATTTGCTAACGACATATGCATAAGTGTAGGATGATGACCTCAACTCGCTGCTTAATTAAACATCAATGATGCCACGACCCGTAGCTCGTAGATATTTCGATTGAATTTAAATAAAAATAAACTGAATGCACGTTGTGAGATTCCATCGGCATTAGTATGTAGATAGGAATGTAGAAGAAGAGAAGGTCTGTTAGCAAATGATCCGAATGGATACTTTGACTTATTGCAGCGAATACATGTATACTTAGGTAGATGGTATTCGATGGATTCCTCCGGTGCAAATCAGTTTAAATTGGATTCCATCGAATGGATCTGCAGGATGGAATGAATGTCGAAATATGCTTGGGCACGTTGTGGGCGTCTCGACGCCGAGCGTCCAATGTTTGCGTTGTGGTTAATGCTCGTGTTTATGTCGGTACCTCCAGGTAATTGCCATTCTCTGCAGACGGTTTCTATTTTTTTTTTGCCTTTCCACAAAAGCTACAAATGTATATATATATACACACATACACACGAGACACCTGCTCTATTGAACCAACCACGCCTAATACACCTTCATAATACCAACTCTCTCTGTCTCTTTATCCATGTCCCTATGTAATTACACCACCGGATATTTATTACTAGTCAATGCACCTCTATTTGTTTCTGCATACATAATTTACATTTATTCATATAGGACCACTTAATTGGACCAGCATTCCCATCGTCGTACAATTTTCGTAGTAGTTTCGTCTAGCTGATTGAATTTTAATTCGATATACATTCAACTTTGCTCTTCACACCCTTAAGTTTGTTACCTCGAACACAGCATACAATGTAATTTACTGATGCACTGTGTATATTACTTCCATTAACATTTACATTATCAAAATTTAACTTTATAACTACATGCCATTTAGCAAACACAATTTGTGTGTTCAAATCTCAAAATTATAAATTAATAAAGAATTTCAATTGATTTTTAAGAAAATTAAATAGAAATGATATAATTATGATTTGATTATAATATAAGCTAAAATGTTTCTTTGGATTCGATGTTTTTTTATTTCCTTAGTTCTAAATAATCATCATAAAGAAAGCAAAATAGTTTTTGATTATACATTATACAATAAAGAAGGAAAGA